ATTGAATATATAATGTATACATATGTAAATATATAAATAAACAACAATAGTATGTATGTACAAAATATCTATCTATTATATACACACTGTACATCTATGTACAATAAGTATCAAAAACGAGACCTTAAATATATACTTAAAGATAAAATAATTCTTTGAAATGAGCCAACTGATTTTTCAATAATGAATGAATATATTGAATATATAATGTATACATATTAAATAAAGAACATAATGATGACACTATATAAACATATAAATATATAAAATAATAATTCCCTTACTAAATATATACATTAATAAGGCGAATGAGATGATTTTTCTATGTAATAAGTATTCAATTTTAATTTTAAGTAAATCCTAATATACATATAAGTTTAGCTTTTAATAGACCTAATAAAATTGAACAAAAACATGATATCAGAAAAGAAGTTCGATATCAAAAATTCTGAATATAAAAATAAAGATTTTACTTGAGTACTTAATATAGTTACCATCATATTTTTATGACATTGATATATGCAGTTTTTTATTCTGGAATAACAATAAATCTGTATGAAATTTTGCAGATTTGCAAAATTTAGGAGATTTATGATAACAGTAAAAAGAACTAAATCTATAAATAATAAGTAAATCTATGTAGCTATCTAGAAATATCAATACAAAAAATAAATTAATATTCATGGTATTGTAAGAAATTTTTAATAGGACATGTTTAGCAATAAAAGTTATTGATTACTTATAAGTATGTAAGTGTATAATTTGTTTATTTTTAGTACCAATCGCGTACCAACAGCTTATCAGTTTCAAAGACTACAGATGAGGTTTTCTTAATTTCTGTATTTATTAATATGGCAAAATTATGAGTATAAATAAAAATTATTAAGTAAAAGTCATGTAATATAAATTGTAGGTTTTGTTAAAGTGTTCATTGTTAAAGCCCCAACACATTATTTTTAATGCTCAACGTTATTTTAAATGGGCGGCATAGAGACTGGTATTTCCCTTTTATAAGTATAATTTACACGATTTATTTTAAAACTTCATTCCTAAAATAATCCAGTGAAATATAGGTAATGTTCCATGTTTAAATTTGACTTTAAAATTATATTTTTTTTTTATTTTATTTAGAAATATATACGTTATTTTTATGTTTATCTATAGTATTGTAACGAAAGGATCCAGGTATTTATTAAAAAATGCCCTAATTTTCAAAAACCCTACTACATATTTGTTTTGATCATAGACAATTCATAGACAATTTCCTTAACAAAAAGCATTACTTACTGGCTGGTAAGAAATAAGTGTACAATTTTGTTTTTGATTTGTTGTTTATTTACTGCATAGATTAAAGATAGTACCTGACATTCTCTTTCTACGACTGTTTGTATTCCTTTTTACAATTACACGTTACGGTTGTATTATTTTTTTGTAAATCTATGTTTGTTTATTACCAATTTTTATTTCCCTTCCCGTCTGAGTGGACACTTAAAAGAAACATCATAATACTAAGGTACCTATATAAGGACCCGACCACTATGTCATATACCACCACTATATTACTAAACATAATTTTCTTCTTTGTAGACACACAAATGTAAATATATGTCCCGTGAGGGATTCAATTTTGCAAGTCAAAAAATCCTGCAAGATCCGTTCATGTCAATTCTCGCTACAAATATACTTATAAGTACAAAATAGAACTTATTGATTCTTGAACTTGCTTGTATAGAAATGTGTAGAAGAAATTATATACAAAACATATACTTTTTAATAGAAATATAGCGATTTGATAAAATAAAAAAAATCATATAAATTATGGAGTCAAAGATAATTATATAGATACAACAAACTTGATACGTATGTATATTTTAGGATTTCAGTCGATTCAGAAAGCGTTTTGATTCCAAGAAGAATTAATAAAAATGTTTATTTTTTATTTATTTTTTTCACTACACTAATGTGGCAGATAAGCTCGTCGGATGGTAAATTGTCGCTGTAGTCTATAGACACCTGTAACATCAGGGGTATCACGTACGCATCGCTGATCCTGAAGAAACTTTAACACATTCTTTCTGAAGGACCTCATTCTATAGTCTGAGCGTTCGCGGGAGAAAATTCCTCTGAAACCGGGCGATTGTTATTTTTTTAACTAAAAACTATAAGTGTCAGGTGACTATAAAATATTGATAAAATTTAAGTTTAAAGTACAATATTAAGTAGAAATAGAATAGTTTTAATTACTTAGAGTAAGTCAATTCACGATTATGAAGGATTGACCAGGTATTATTTTGTTTAACTATTATTTAGGGACTTAGACCATTATCAGTACTGACTGATGATGGTCTGAGTTCTTAAAATGAATGAATACCGAATAATTTATGTAATAATGAATTACACAAATGTTAAAATTGTTACACAAATCTGAAAAATGTCCCCAAAGCTTCGTTGCCTGATTTCTAGCACATCAACACAGGGTACACAAGTTTGAAGACTTTTTTTATACCACGAAGGTGGCAAACAAGCATACAGCCCGTCTGATGTTAAATAATTACTGTAATTTATGAATGCCTGCAATATTAGCAGTGTCACCACAACTAGACGATTCGTATGATCTTGTGGTACTTATTGTTATTATTTTTACAATTTAATTCGTACAATTCTTTTATACCAAGTTTTTCTGTCATCTAGAGGGCGAATATTTATTCTTATAGTACTACAGTAATGTATTTATATATGGAGTGTACAACGGCGTACAACGGCGGCTAATGCGAGACAGATTGTATCTATAATGATTATTTATGATCCATGTAAAGTGGCAATTCTAGTACCCCAAGTCTCATAGGTTTTTGTAGTAATTTCTTTTTATATTTTGCTATCGGAGATCAATATTCCTGTTAAATATACCCATTTTTTGTCTTTCCAGAAAAGTATTCACTCTAAAACAATTTTTTTAATCTGCTATTAGAATTACTACTAAAAATAGAATCCCTGAATAATCTTATAATTTTATAATAGTATGAACAAGCTAATTAATCCAGATTCACACGTGTGAATTAATTCAGAAATTTTAAATGCAATAAAAAAATAATTAGCCAAATAGGTGCAGTCGCTCTGAAATTCGCATGCATTCGGGATTTTATTTTTATAAATGTGAAAGTTTATTATTTATATTTATATTTTTATTTATATAGATGTAAAAGTTAGTAAAGATATTTAGATTTTTACTACATGCTGAAACGGCATAATGAATTTGAATTAAATTTAATAAAAGGGTAGGTTGTATTTAACCTCAACAGTTAAGAAACTTTATAAAATTATATATATGGGCAAAATCGTAAGAAACAAATAGTAAGTTTCATTATTAATTCAGAAATTCTCACGAGATGTGCAAAGTACAGGTTGGCAAAGCAAAACTGTAAGAAAAAACTAGTTATATGTGTTATATTTAAAGGGAGAGTTTATAACAACAATTTCATGTGACATTATAAACTCATATACGTGGGCAAAATCGCCGGAAAAAGCTAGTATATATATTATTTTAGAAATTCTCACGAGAAGCGTAAATAACAGGTTGGCAAGGCGAAACTGCAAGAAAAAAAACTAGTAACATATGTTATATTTGAAGAGAGAGTTTATAACAGCAATTCTACATCACATAAAGAAAATGTTACATAAAGTCTTATGTTCATTATTTAAGTTTCTGGAGATTTCATGATGTAGTCATTATAATCATCAATTGTAGAACATTTGTATTTTAGACTATATTTTGTTCTTTTCTGAACTGTTTGTGCACTTCTATTTTTATCAAAAGAGCTTACTCGCATAATTTTAAATATTTGTTTTATTTAAATTTAAATTATCTTTATTCAAATAGACTTGTTTACAAGCACTTTTAAAGTGTATTTTTTTTATGAATGTATCGAATTTATATGGTATTATGCTAAAGAACAAAAAATCTTGATACCAGAGGACGCCTACCTCATTTGAGTATAATAAATTTATAAGTATAATGCTCATAAATGGCAATTTACTTGTCAAACAAATACGCTATAATTTTGTCGTTTCAGCAAACGCATTTGGCTATAAATCTTACTATGTATAGTCCGACGTAATTGTAACTTGCTTTATCTTTAAAAAAAAAAGAATATTCTAAAAAAGCTACATTAAACATGTCAAATTCAATATGGAATCTGGAAGCAAATACTATCAATTCTAAAACGATTTATCTGTATCGATTTGGAATTGTCTGGATGTCTTGGATGATTACCACTTTCCATCAGGTGGGTCGTCAGTTTGTTTGCCATTCTAAGTTGTATAGAAAAATTGCTGAAGATAAAATATAAAAACATAAAAAAAGTCGAATGTACAAGTTCTTACTATTTAAAGTTGCTTATTAACATAAAAATAGTTTTGTAGTAAAAAATACTATAATTATTTAACAAGAAAATAAATTGATACATTTTAAATATACACGATATAAAAATAATATAATAACAGCTAGTTTTTACCCGCTACTTGTGGGTACGAGTGGTTTATGAAGTAGGAAATTTAATGAAGTAGATTACTTCTAGATGGCATATCAAGATGAAATCTATACTAGATTTTAGGTTAGACCTTCAGGAATACCACCACCTACACCAACACCTTCAGTGAAAACCGTATCCAATTTTGTACAGTTGTTTTAACGTGAACCGGAATAATCATACAGGCAAACGAACAGACAAAATTTCTAATAATTTTTGTTTTGATCTCTATTGATGTTATGAAAAGTTTTAATTAATTAATTTTTATTAAATATCTCCCATGTACAGACAACCTGTAGTTACAATTTTATTATATTAATAAGATGCGATTAAGATGATAGGAAAACAGCGAAAAAAGTTGTACGTTCAGTTCAATATTATAGTAAACCGAGCAAAGAGTTCGCCAACTTTGAGAAGTTCCATTATTGAGATAAGAACAACAAATACTACTTATACTACGAACTAAATACTCACAATAAAGCCTGTAGAAGTTTTTTAATATCCTGCACTGAGTACAGTTTGTTCACAGAAAAGTTTCTATGGTGTTTATTTATAATTCTATCAACACAACACTAAGTTACACGTTTACACTAAAAAGAACAACACTAATTTAATATAAGTACATTTTGTATTTATTTATTTTATTTATAAATGACATTTTATTAGAATTATATTAATAATATTACGTAAATGTACGTGAACTCGGGATCGCGAGTAAGCGTGCGTCGCCTATGGAAGCAACCGTCAGAATCGCTCCGTTGCTGAAAACTGAAGCGTTCCCGTTTGACACTACTTGAAACTAGCGTCGAATTTAGCGGCTTTTGATTTTGGTGCGTTTATTTAGTCTAGAAATCATGATCAATATAATTTTCAGACAAAATAAGTACACTGCATTGGCTTTTACTCGCAACTTTGTTCGTATGACGGAAACTGTTCACCTGTTTTTTTTTATACAACTTAGAATGGTAAACAAGCTGACGGCCCACCTGATGGAAAGTGGTAACCGTCGCCTATAGACATGAGCAGTATCATGGATATAACAGAGTATACTGTTTTGCCCACAATACCCCCTATGCGTTGCCATTCCTGAGGATTCAGGTGTTATTCCTCTGTACCCTGTAAATTCACGTCAGATCCCACCCTTCAAACTGAACCACAGCCATGCAAACACAATTGCTTCACGGTAGAAACACGAATGGGACAGAGGTACCCGAGCGATCAACTTTTATATGAAGTCTCCTGGTACGAGACTACCAAATTTCATGATTCATTGAATCGTTGAGATACCACGAGGTAACAAACAAACACACTTTCGTTCTCATCATTTCAACCGTTAATTGTCTACTGCTGAACATAAGAGGAATTTTGCCAGTAGTTGCCACAGATAGATTGGCAACTGAAATTAGGCTTTCAGAGACATTTTAAAAGGACACAGTTTTTGACACCCACATGGAAGAAAGAGTAGCCTATTTTATGTCGGTACCATACTCTAATGTTTATTAAATATTAGAAAACATAAATTTATTAATTTGAAAATAAATATTTTTAAAAATTAACTCAGCCCAATATTGATTGACAGCGTGGACAATTTTGCGGCAGCATTCCTTAAATTTATCTTTAAAATTAAAACGTTATAGTACGAAGATATACGAGCTCGTAAATACCATCTTGAGAATTACTTAAGAATAACATCTCTCTAAAAAATATAAATTCGTCCGGTTTTAAACTCTTTTTATTACGAGAAAATATACATATACTTAAATTTATATACAAAACGTATGGTTTTGTTTGGTAAAGAATGTAAATCCCGAGTTTTTTATAACTCGATGATATTCACCGAATAACATTCTGAAGTCATTATGTTCATTCATGTAGTTTATCGTAAAAGAAAAAACTTAGTACATATTGTAATGTTTTATTTTATTCCCTGTTCGGCTCACACATTGTTTGGATAGTGAAGGTTAGGTCGTGATTCTGGATATCTCCCAATTTCCTCATTACAGATTTTATCATATATGTTAGGATTGGGTGCGTCGCTCGTTTTATTGTATACCTAACTCTTAGAAAAATATCATACAACAATGGTTATAAAATCTTTTTTTGGCTTAATTATACACACCTAAATATTTGACAATTTATAACTTGATGCTTTACTGTAAAAAAATGCTTTTTAGAGGTGTCTACCACAAGAAGTTTTTCACTTTCATTTTTAACCAACTTGAAAAAAAGAGGTTTTCATTTCAGTTGTATTTTTTTGTGTATGTCGCTTCCTAGTTCTGTCATTTATAAATCGCTTAAAAATTTTATTTTTAACTGAAATGACTTATTTTACTGAACTAAGTGTTATTTTGCGTAAGTCCATGTCACCTAACCAGCAATTATAGGAGGGAAGTGAATTGTTAGTAAAGGGCTTTAACAACCCTATAGCTAACAATAGACCTTAACAGATCAACCTCCACGCGGTTCCTCCTGGAAACTATAGTAGTTGATTCCCGTCAAATTCTTCAGGATGGGACGACTGACCTGCTTTCATCTTCATTATGTCCATGTTACTCATGTCTATAGGCGACGGTTACCACTTTCCATCAGGTGGGCCGTCAGCTAGTTTGCCATTCTAAGTTGTATAAAAAAAAAATCTGTTATCCCTCACTGGTGCCCCACCAGCGTATACCGATAGTGCAGATGGGGCAACCATTCTATTTTCACGCATAAAAAAAAACAACAATTATATATCCTTATCAAATAACCTAGTTATTTGATAAGGATATACCTTACTTATATACCTTACTTTCAGATTTATCCCATAGAAATTTTATCAAGATCGATTCAGTAATTCAGTTGTTAAAACAAAACTGGTGTTCCGATTGAAGTTGGTGTTCCTTTTTATAAAGCAAAATCTATTATATTTTTTTCTAAAATAAATAAAACCATATGAATATGAAAAAACTTGTTACAAATGCAGTATCAAGTTTTTTACAACTCATTATGACAATTACAACTCATAATGAACACTCTTTTATTCAGCAATCGAGTAAAAATAGCTGACAGTACGATCCTAGATGGGATTGTCGGAATCTTATCGACACTTGTCATTTATAGTAAACGCAATTCCCGTTTTGACCAAAGACGTAAAACAATATATTGTCTTTTTAGACTAATTTATAAATTCTTTAATTTATAATTTATAATTATATTATATTATATTTTATATATAATATAATATTTATATATAATTTATAATTTATAAATTCTTTTTTTCTTTTTAAGAGATATAGAAACCTTGATACTAATTAGATATATCTCAGGGAAGAATAAGCCTAATTCTAACCCCTGTAAGATTGGTTTTGTTAATTTATAATCATCAGATATTGACAGGAAATTGAAATAGATACGAAAACTTTTTGGGGTCGGTCAGATTTGAACCCAAGCCCTTTCTATAAAGGTCTTAAGTTTAAACCGTTAATCAAGATAATTTTAAAGCTTAAATAATTGAAATTGTAATAGATGGCTAGACAATATATTTATTAATGTATATAATATATAACATACGTAAACAGAAAAACAATCTATTAGAATCCTTTTAAGGCAACCAATTAATCTGAATATTTTTTCCCAAAGAAATAGATTAAATTTTGTTGAAGTAAATATATAAAATGTTTCATTTATTTTTTGAAGATAATATGAAATCTGTTAGTTATATTAGCCACATAATGTATTAGAAAATCCCGAACTAATCTATTTTATTAGTTTTAAACCAATCTATCTTATTAGTTGACACTTTTTTTTAATAAATCAAAGTGTTCCATTTTTCGGTGTTGTTATTATTACTGTTTTATTTTAGCATTGCTCCATCCACACACACACTATGTTGAATCGTCAAAGGATGGTTTATGAAAGAAATTTACTCACACTGAAATAAAACAAAAACTTGGATTGGTTTTAGCGAATCGTTTTTAGAGACATATCCTATCTAAACATATAAAATCTATGGGAATAATTTACTACAGTCTCTTGATTATGAAGTGTTTCGTTAGTGAACACTTATAATTTAATTACTTGTAGATATATGTAGATACACTATAGTGTTTGATATTTGAAGTATATTCATCATAATTGGTATAATTAGACTTTAGATTAAAGCACGTAATAATGTTAGTAGTAAATTAAACCTTATAATAAGGATAAATAGATAGCATAAAAGCTGGCAAAATTAACCTTTACTTCAGACTCCGCATAAATTGAGAGGGTTGTCACAAATTTAGTCGGATATATAAACAAATAATATTACGATACGATACAACTCGCACGACACTCGACACGCATGTGAGTGAGCCAGATGTACAAATAAAGTTTAATATAAAAAACTTTATTTATAAATATCTATTCTTCGAAGTCGGCCTAAAAAATAGGATCATATAAATTCACTAGATTCATTATTCTATGCAAAACATATATAAGAAACTGTCCTGAATTAAAAAAAAAATTCATTTTGGGATTTATGTAGATATAAATTTATGTAGGCACGGGTTTTTACAAAGCATATGTAGTCAAATATCATAAATAATACTTAGACCTTATTTACAAAATTTGTAAGAATATTACGTTACGTTAAATTACAGATATTACTAAATAGTTAGAAATAAGTCAAAAATATTGTTAATTGCACTATCAAGATAATATTAGGTTTTTTACTTGAAAAATGTATATTACCAATTTTTATAAAAATTTAAAATAAAAAAAAATAATAACAATCTGTACCTGCGTCAACAGCACTGCGTAATAATAGATGTGCGCACTCCTTGCACCGTGTAGTGCCGTTGGTATCGATGCAAGTTTTTTTTTTCGAGAATTTTAATTTTTTTTTTCTAGGAAAAATATGTTTTTTTTTTGTGACCCTATTACTGTCCCTATTAACATCAGTTTTAAGAAATGTGTTACATTAATTAACATACTATGTATATACCAATATATTCACACCACAATTTAATACTAGAGGAATGTCTGCATTATGCATATTTATTCAGATGCATATGGATTCAGGTTAAACATCAAACGGATCTACCACACTCGATTGTATGCAGAGAATAGTTGGGAACTTTAATTACATATGTGAAATAAGATGAAATTATTGCCTTGATGAATTTGTTTATAAAGTATTGTATTGTATTTTAAAATCTTTATTGTAATAAAGCAATGCTAAATAAATTATAATAAGATGTTTGTTGCTTATTAAGAGTTTTGCTGGCCGCTTGGCTGGTCGAACTGATTTTTTTTCAATTAATTTCAAAAAAGGAAAAGGCTCTCAAATTCAGTTGTATTTTTTCCATTTCCGTCATTTATAAACAGATTTAGAAAATTATTTTTTATCTGAATAAAATATAATTCAGATTGTAAGCCCGTAGAAATATATTTCCGTAGATATTTTAGCACAATTGGTTTATTAGTTTAGTTTCAAAATCAAAACAACTGATTTTGCCACAGTTGAAGTCCCTTAAACATTACCTTATTAAACTCTTGAAATAATATTAATTAAACATAATTTATTTGTGGAACAAAATCTAGAAAATTTTTAATTCATCCATTTCATGGCCATTTTTCTTGTTTCGATAAGCTTAATAATTTCAAGAGGAGAGCCTTTACGACTATACTTTAGGTAAGAGGTCATATATGACCGGTGTATATAATCAGGCGTCAAATGCCACATTTTTATTTTTGTTTAAATCACTCCTCATATTTA